TGATTACACGGAAATTATATAGCCCCCTGGTGTGTTCTCGGGTCGTGCTTGCTGTGTGTTGTTCGGCATGATGTCCGACATTGCTGAAGAAACTCCAAGGCACTTGGAGCAAAAAACGATTTGCCGGAACAACCCAAAACGACATCGGGAGAGGCCCACGGCACAGGAGGAGCCCTAGCAGCAGTCTGCGTGCCACTGCTTACAGACCTTTCTTCTGCCCTGAGCCGACAAACAAAAACAGCAAACAGTGCAGAGGCAAGGTCCAGTCGGAGTCATCGATTATCGTCAGGAGGGATTAACAAAGCTTATAAACAAGCAACATAATCCTCTGTAGCTCTTGTCGATGTGTTTGCTGGGGGTGTGGCGGAGGTGGGGGGGGTGTACCGCAAGTTGCTCAGCATGATGTCCGACAATTCATTCCACGTGCTGGGAGCTTCCTCAGGGATTTCCGCAGACATCATGCCGGACATCGAGTGGGGACAGACAACGCATGGCAGAGGCACGCAGCACAACCACGGAACCCACGCAGTCGGTACAACGCCTCTCTCTCTCTCTGTGTGTGTTTGTGTATCTTTCAATAATGTTTCCAACCAGCTGTTTTGTGTCCTTCACACGGTCTGCTTTCCGACGACACGCGTTTTAATAACGCGCATTGGATATAACGCGATTGAGTGAGCATAACTACGTCGCGCGAGTAGGAATACGCGGTTGTTCGGCTGCCTCGGCATAGCATCAGGCAAGGCGGGGGATGCTGCTGGATGCTTCTAGATGCTACCCACGCGCCTCAGTCTTTTTTTTCCCGAATGGCGTGGAAACATCGGTGCTCAGAAGACAAAGGCGGCAGGGCATGGCTCTGACTATACCGCCCCCCCCCCCCCGTTTTGTGTTATGCCGGCCTTCACAGATGCACATCAACGGGCACTTGCCTCGACAGTCTGAATGGCTATATGGGGGATCTTTGTATTTTGTTGTGTCGTGGTGCACACCTGTAGTCCGTCAACATGGCAGGCAGAGTTGGCGGATCAGGCAGAGATCATTGCGCATGAGGCGCTCACCTCCAGTGGCAGCGAGGAGCTTTTAGATAATAAACGAATGACATGCTGAAAAGTAGATACATAGTTATCGACCTACTTGATGTACTGCCAAGTTCTTGCCACCTCATAGCCAAGCAGCGAGTGTATGGTTATTATTGAATTATGAATGCACTTGTTTAAAAGCCTCACCGAGTCTCAAGAATATTGTTGGGGATAGTCCTGACAATTTTTTATTGGAGCAGAGGGCGAGGTTCCTGCTGTGTGTGTGATCCCAATCGAGTAATTTGCAAGTACATTTTGTTTTTGCAGAATTGACGAACGCAATTACCGTGGCAGAAGAGAACAGACGGCACTGCAAGGCATTACAATGGCTGGGTCCATCCATGTCACACCTTTGAGTGCGACCCATTTAAATATTTTCACCAATTATCGAGCAATTATTTTCGGCCAAGTGCTGCCGTGGTTGGATCTCGCAGTGAGTTTAAATTCCCGTCGGGGCTTGACGAGGCCTTGGTCATCCTTCAGGTTGGCAAAGCCCAACATAGGTGGTCTTCCATTAGAGTAAAGTGCCCCTGCCTTAGGAATGTGGAATTTCCAGCTCTAGTTCAGAGGTTTCGGCAGGGACCGTGGCAACCCCATAATTTGTTGGAGCGTAGAGACACCGACCTTGATCAGTGCTATTAGGCCGCAAGCTAAATATTGATTATTCTCCGATTGGCTTGGGGAGCATGGGACCTCGTGTAACTATGTGGTCTTCTGACAGAGATGGATTTACAGTAAACTATAGTGATTGTAATTTCAAGTCAAAGTGTCTCCCATGTTCGGTAAGGGGAGGAAACTCTAAAATCCTATTGTGGGGCCAGTCTGTCCATAGCGCAACCACTGCTGACCTCAACACAAAGCTGTACTTAATGTATCCATCGTTGCTCATGTGACCTACACAACCAGGATTTGTAACCGTAGGATCAAACGTCGAATGCTTTAACCTCAGCGCCATCCAGCCAAATCACATGATTAACTGTCTTTGGAAATGTTCGGTACATCATCATCATCAGCCATGGTCAATCCACTGCTAAATAAAGGCCTCCCCAAGATGCCACCATCTCTCACGATCCTGTGATGCAACAATCCACCGAGCAGCCGCCCACGAAGTTCACTCCATCTCCCCGTGCGTGTCCTCTAGGACACTGGTGAATATTGTTGCCCGAGGTTAACAACTCAGCTACACGATTCTGAGTTAAATGAGCCAAAATCGTGCCATGTTTGGAAATCGTGTAAAGGAACGACAACATGCAAATTCGTTATTTCCACATTCTTCATGCACTGCCAATGAGTTACCTGATAACGTGCTATGGAAACAGTAAGCCTTATCTATACGGACCGACCGGAATGTTTGCCAGGAATCAAAACTACATACACATCGTGAGCCTATTTGATAGATACTATATTTTTCTCTCAGGCGGTTGCCTAAGCTGGAATGGATGTTTGCTTTAAGATAAGTGCAAAATAACAAATTGCTTGAAAAGGCTTTCAGAAATAGGTTTTTCTCAGAAACTGGACAAACAGCTCCTCCGCATTCCTTTGCTTATATAAATTTCCATCTTTCTCTCAGAGATGGAGCGAGACAACGCGAGGTCTCATCGAACTTTCAGTGCAGGGACAAGTTTTGGTGGCCATGAGTCGTCTCTGCTCCTGTTTATGCTGCCCTCCTACCGTATCCGGCTGGGTGATACAGTGGTTTGGGCAATCGACTCACAATAAGAAGGTTTTGAGTTTACATTCCGGTCGAGGACCATCTCAGTCGATCTTCCTGAAAGTCTCGATTGGAACGATTACCGCATTGTGGGAGGTTTGCAGTGGTCGTCTTATGGAGGGAATGTGAAATTTCCACCATGAACTAAGTCGGGGCTGCCGACTGAGATGAGCGCCACACCATTGCCCCCTTAGAAGAAAAAAGCACTTTGACTTCATTATTTTTTACTTGACCTCGCTGTAGCTTCGTGCCCTTGACGGACACACCGTGCACGTGCCCTTACAAAAAGAGTAGCCAATTGTCAGAGTTGGAGGCACCGGCCAAGTGCCGTGGTTTTCAGCTCGTGTCCTTGTGTGCTGAGCATAATGGTCCAGCGGAAGTGCAGTAGTTAGTGCACTGCACTGCGAACCCAGCAACCTGCGTTCAATTCCTGACCACAGATAACAGTGGCGAATATCTGAACCAGTCCAGGGCCTCCCTGAGGTCAACTCAGAATTTTTTTCTGGTATGGCGTGGAAAAATCGGCGCTCAGGAGACAAAGGCAGCAGGGCATGGTTCTGACCATACCAACTCCATGTTGTGTTATGCCGGCCTTCACAGATGCGCATTAACGGGCACTTGCCCCGACAGTCTGTATGGCTATATGGGCGATCTTTGTCTTTTTGTGTCGTGGTGCACACCTGTAGTCCATCAACATGGCAGGCAGAGTTGGCGAATCAGGCAGAGATCATTGCGCATGAGGCGCTCACCTAAATTGGCAGTGAGGAGCTTTTAGATAATACCTATTTAGTTATCGACCTACTTGATGTACTACCAAGTTCTTGCCACCTCATTGCCAAGCAGCGAGTGTATGGTTATTATTTAATTATGAATGCGCTTGTTTGAAAGCCTCACCGAGTCTCGAGAATATATCGTTGGGGATTGTCCTGCCATTTTTTTCAGAGCAGAAGGTGCCTTCTGTGTGTGATCCCAATTGAGTAATATGCAAGAATTTTTTTTTTGCTCAGGATTGAGATGTTTGACTAATTGCCAGTTACACTGTACGTTTTATTTGCATATCTACGAGAGTAAACTGGAGTACACGGAGGAAAACCCATCCAGAACAGGGGGAAAATGTACAAAGCATCAATAGTAACCATTATATTGGAATAAGGGAACTTTAAGCCTTGAGAATCACAATTGCAACCAAAAGGTAATCCCAAAGGTATCTCTTGCTTGTAAACGTTTCGTGTAACGCATCATCTTTCAAGGATTTCACAATGTGAGCATGAGTGGATTGGATTAAGGGACACATGAATATAAATCCGTGGGATTATTATTGTAATATAAAAGTATTCCGAAGCTAATCTCTTGCTTTTAAACACGTCGCGAAATCTGTTCCCCCTTGGACGTATGTCCACACGGAAGCCATAGAGTTGCCCAATGCGACTGCAATACAATATATTGTACAATGCAGGATCCACAATCGGGAGTTCCCTTCGTGTTCTGGTGAGCACATTGCACTTGCAAACCAGGGAACGGCAGTTCTATTCCATCTCCTGGCATGGCGGTTGAAATAATGGTGCAAGTTTCTTAAATATCTCCGCCTTTGTCTAACCCAGCAGAAAAAAATGTGTACAACGGCAGTCAATCGATCGAGGTTCATGTGTGGCTACTTCTGATGAACATGGAAGAGTAGACCAAAGACCCCCAAGAGTTTGTTGTCGTGTTATAAGATCAACAATTGTTGCATCGTCTGTTTTGCTAAAATATTTTCACGTAGTGATTACCATTACCTGTTACATTTTTTTACAAAATATTTCATATCTTGACAACATATTTCTGACAAAATTATAACTAAGGTTCACAAAAATAATTACATTTATAAAAAAAGGACTATTATGCCGTTAAATCAATACAATGTTGAAAGCATTAGATTTTTCATGATTTTCTGAAAGCATGTGCATCATACGCATATAGATTGCAATGTTACAGTAATCAAAAGACTAATGACAGGCTTATGTTCAGTGAATTGAAATAAAATACCCAGGAAGCAATCATTATATTCGTATTAAAGGTGAATACTGTAAAAAAAGGCTACAAAACATGAAATACAATTAGAGTTAAGGGCAAACTGATGTGGCGATAATCGTCGTATCGCGCATTTTTTTCTCAAATCGCATCGCATCGTGAACTTCGACCTTGCCGACGTGGCGTGAGTGGGGGCGGCTCACCTTGCGGACGGCCCTGGGTGAAATCTCGCGGGGGCAGCAGCACCCGGCGTGCGGGGGGCACCCCCCGTGGAGACACCACCTTCCACGAGACGCCGCTGTCTCCGCGGAGAGACCATACGCACCCGCCCGAGTCAAAGTCGCAGTCGTGGCCTGGAATGCAGCATTGTCGGGGGGGGGGAGGGTGGGAGAGGCAGGTTGTTTGAGGCCAGCGGAAAAGGCAGATTTAGTTTTTGTTTTGTTTGAATCGTAAATTAAATTGCCGTTACACATCATCGTAGGCCCCGTCACGTGGGCACAGAAATCACGGCAGTACTGGCCATGGCAGTGCCAAGGAGAGCGGCTGGCGAGCGTGACTTTTATTTTGTAACCTGTCTTTGTCTGCACGTGTGTCTGTCTCTCTCTCGCTCTGTCCTTCGATCTGTTCTGTCATCTGTCTATCTTTTCTGTCTTGTTTGTGTACATGGATGTTGTGTCTGGTTGCCCATCTGTCTGATGGACGATTTGGCATTTTGAAGGAAAACTCCATAGCATTTAAGGTTTATATTTTGAACTTGCATTCTTAGCATGTATTACTTTTGTGTGACAAAAGAAAGCCTTGCAAGGGTTAATTTCTTCTGACTTTTTTCTGAAACAATTATCTTTTCTCCTTTTGCTTGTAATAAAATACAAGTAACCACATTTACATTGGCTCTCTATATTAAAAAAAAAAAGTTAAAGTGTCTCCTTCCTCAGATGAGCATTGGGCAGTGGTCTTCCTGTGGCTCTGAGTCAATGGTGGAAACTCTACATTCCTATGACGGGACCATTATATGCACATGACAATAGCTGTTGGCTTCCCACATGCAGAGGCCCAGTAGACCGCCGACTCGGATATGAATTAATTTTTTATCTTTATGTTTTTTAGCAGCTAATCGCACGAGGTGTTAACTGCTGATACTGTAGAAACACGGCTGTCATCGGTAAACCCAAATCAAAGAAAATAATTACTTCAGAAGAACAGCATCAGCTCAGGGACGGCTTGTCCTGCATACTCTTCTCAAGAATAGGTCGGTATGTACTGGCCGTCAAAGCTGAACGATAACACGTGGAAATTATCCAGAGCTAAATTACATAAAAATTTATGGCAATTGTTCCCATGGACGTACGGTTATCGGTCTTTATATTTGGCGAGCACATGACGTATTTGATGTGAATAAACAGGCCCTCAAATTACTCAGCACCGTACAGGGCATTCTTGATTTGAAGCGTTCGTGATTGCAGGAATCCATACTCTTTGCTTTAATAGTTCAGAATGTAATGTATCAGTCATGCCCTGTACATACTCTTTGGTTCTTTCGGTAAAGTCACGTAGATAGAAAAAATAATAGATCACGACGCTTCGATCGCCACACAAGCAATCGTCTTCAGGTCAGAGACGATTGCTTGTGTGGCGATCGAAACGTCGTGATCTATTAATTTTTTTTATACTTACGTGACTTTACCGAAAGAACCAAAGAGTATGTACAGGGCATGACTGATACATTACATTCTGAACTATTAAAGCACTACAAACTAAACCTTTAAAAAATATTTTAGCAGGTTAGACAATATCGGCCATACACCATTAAAATGGTGACTACAAATTAAATTAAATTCTGTTGTGGTGTTTTAGCTTCGAGTGTGATTATTGAGTATAGAAAACGTGCTATTGTTTGTTAAATTAATCACTTTTGTTCATAATGCACCAGCCTCAACACTGTGAGCAGCAACATCACAGCCCCAATGTTTTTTTTCTTTCCCTTCTATGAGAAACAGCACAGCCTCAATCATTTGCTTAATCACTTATTCACTCACTGAACAGCTCGCTTAACAACTCGCTCACTTGTTCACCCGCACCCACTCACTTTATCACTTGTCCTTTCGCTCATTCTGTAAATGGAAAGGTCTGCTGTAGGGTTTCCTATGTTTGTCAAAAACGTTACTGAACTTCACATCGCTATGAAGCTGGCCGATCTTTGGCGACGGCAAATGTGTAATTTTTATTGTTTGGAGAGACTTTCACTTCCGCCGTGCATCTTTGAATCAGCCAGAAGCTCGGAGTACTTTAAACCTGCATCTGCCATTTGTCAGTGAGCAGGAGTGCTGATGAATATGTATATTACAGGTCAGTCGGTCAACCTTTAATAATGACATTCATAACACGCCAGATTTGCAGTCAAGTCAACAGCTCAGAGGTGCGGAGCCAGGCTCAGGGCTGCTTGAAGGCCTGACCAAAGAGATAGAGGCCTTTAAATGTTTTTGAAAGTCAAGAGTGCATTTGACGTTGCGGATGTGCAAGGAGAGTTCCACACCGAGGGGGCGGCAGCAGAGAACCCACGTGAGGCTGTAACAGTTTGAGACCTTGGTGTCCAAAGCAGATTTTGAGTGACACTGAGTAGGGTTCTACCATGAGCCTAATGAGAGACCTTGAAGACCACACGTCGTTTTTCAAGGAATATGGCCACATTGTGGTACGGCGATATTGGATTCTCATGCAAACGATTAAATCTTTGTGATTCCACCGATGTCTCTGGCAGAGCCTTGGATTAGAAGCAACTGCTGCCACCCCACAACAACGATATCAAGAGTAGTGGTCGGTATGACTCCCACCATCGATGGCACCACACCTTGCCCTCTCTGCCTTCTCAGAAATCTCTCGCCTGTTTGTGCAGTCGGCACCGCACCGCCACGATCTATTTGTGCGCTATCCAACCATCTGCCTGTAGATCTTCCTGTTGATCAAAGACCGTTAATATCGCTCCAGTGCCTGTCTTAATTACCTACCTTCCATTTCGCCTGTATGCCCCTCGCATCTCAACCATCTCTTTATCATTGCCTGTAACTACTTTTCTTCTATAATGAGCTCAAAATGCTTTCTTGAACCCACCATGCACTTCCTGACATTTGGCTGATGCACCTTTCAAAGGTTTATCCTCCGCTTGCTTAACGGTCAACCATCACAGGCATGTTGCGATCTCTAAGTTATGAATGTCGGCTTGCAATGACGATTGGCACGGACAATGAAGTGGGAATGTTAAACCATTTAATGAATGTACTCACAGATGATATAATTTGCATGGCACTGCGGTGACATATAAGCCACTCCTGGCTAATGTCATGGGAAAAAAAACATACAACCAGCTTTGTAAAGGCACAATGTACATAGCAAATGGAACATCCTTGTAAACAAGGTAATTTCGGTCTAATGGATCCCTATTGAAGCACACACTGAAGTGGATAGGTAAGTCAATAGCTGGAAATGTTTGTTTATGATTGAGTTCATGAATGGGTTAGGCAGGGTAGAAAGACAAATATAATGTATAGAGAATGATAGAGAGTGAGACCGATAGATAGATAGATATACACATTATATATACTGGCCTTACAAGTGTGTTTTTGTACTAGTTACATCCACTGGACAGTTATGTGTAATTTATTCACTTACATTTATGAAGATATATTTATATGGTGCATTTGCCTTCATGGGCCTCAAAGCAACCTGCATGAGTTGCGTAATAAAATATTTGATTTTGTAAACAGCTCAAAGCGTGAGTAAACAAGTTATTTGCAGTGTCTGAAAGGAAACACAAGGGGCCACCATTTCTGTACGGCATCTCTAGATATGGTCACATTGTAAGACATGAAATGAATCAATTTCCTGTTGTATTATAAAGCCCGGAAATGTTGGAGCAATACGTCTCTCAGCCAGCATTGCAAATGAACATCTGGGCAGTTCACCAGCATCGGTTCAAGCAAAGCCTGGCCTACGAGGAGATAGGGCGCAGCCCTGCAACGACCTGCCCACGCCACCGTCTGTATGTACATAAAAAAAAAATACCAAGCAATTCCAAAGAAATTAGTTTTCAATGTAGGTGATTTTTCAATCTAGATGATTTTGATCGGCAGGAAGAACGTTCCAGACGGCCGCAGAAGCTGCTCCGGTTCGCATGGTTGGTTTCAATTAGCACGGTTGGCTACGTACCGTGCGACAAAGGTTCAACGTACATACATACGAAAGCTCCAATGGATGGACGGATGATTGGCCGATTTTAATGGGTGAGGCTGGCGAATGTTGCGTGTGGTGTTCTCACCCCCTTGTGCCCACATCTCTCCGGAGGGCACCCAGGCTTTATTGCGCGTGCCGGTTGTATCCTGTAGCTTAGAGTTGTTCTCTGAAACGGCAACAAACAACAACAATAACAACAACCTAAGAGAGGGCACCGCCAACAGCAATAACAGCAGCAGCAGCTTCACAGGAGGCCAGAGCAGACTGTGCGTAGACAAGGTCCACACAGTTGATGAGATGCCGCTTGTTAATAGGATTGGAGAAATTTGTGACGATTCAATTTTGAGACATCGAGGGGCATCAAGAGAACATAAACGCCATGACCAAGACGTTAGTGTACGCTACCCCTGTGTTCATGAGCAGCTCTGAGAGCCCCATTCGAGAGCAGCATACTCTTCCACTCTGGCCAGACGTCTTTGAGAAGATGTGGGAGTATTGATTTAAAGCTTTCGTGACTGCAGGGATTAATCTTCTTGGTTCTTTCGGTAAAGTCACGTAGAAGGGAAGTAATAAAATAATAAAACATAATAAAATTTTATTATGTTTTATTTTTATTATTTTATTACTTCCCTTCTACGTGACTTTACCGAAAGAACCAAGAAGGAGATGTGGGAGTACCCACACACTGCACCCTACCGCATGCAACCTGCCGATTGACTGTAATTCAATTCGCTTGTCATCGTGGGTTGATCAAATGGGGCGTCAGGGCCAGTTTAGATATCGCTGAGCAACAGCCGGGAATCTAACTCAGGTCACCGGTTCATAACACCGCGCTAACCACTGTGCCACCGCTCGATTCCCGTATATTGCATCAGCTGAAAAAAAACTATCAAAATAACAATTCGCTACAAAAAAAATGTTATTAGTCTTTGCAGACTTCCTTGAGTTGTGAGTCACACAAATTAAACGGCCACTCATGACGGGCCATCACTTCAGCACCTCTCGTACTGCCAGCACTTGCTCTACAACAAACGGCTCTCAGGAGTCACGGTCTCGAAGGGACGTGTGATTACGAAATACAATGATGTGGTCATTCACAGTTAAGCGAGCATAATTACATCATCGTCACGGCTAAGCTACACCACAGGGATAAATGTGGCCCAGAAGTTAATTGTAAAATTGTACCAGCCAAGTCTTCAACCCATAAACTCAACCCTATAGGGCACAATGGCCATGCCAGTGTCCTCCCAGGGAAAACATCTTTTTGCTCCAAGGAATGCAGCTGGATACCTTAGAGGCCCATACGCTTGCCGCCGAACCAATAAAATTAACACGCGTAATGTTGTTTGGCTGACATTTAGTGTGCCCTTTATAGATGTACAATTTTAATGAGAAGAGCGCTAATTCCACTGGATTTTATAAGCTATTTTAAAATATTGGCGACCCATTATGGTTAGGGGCAGTGTTGTTCTCGACAGTGAATGGGCCTAAGATGCCCTCGGGATTTTTCCTACTTGTAATGAGAGCCCGATTCCATAATATATCATCTGTGGAAACAGTAAAAAGAGAATATCTCCGTTAAACATGGGTTAGCCATAACATGGAAGCACCGGGCTCTCATTTGTACATTTTTACAGTCCTAATTCTGGCTGGTTGGTCAACTTAATCAATCATCATATGCCTCTGGGGTCCACAATAATGAGTACCGCTTTGTAGGAAGTTACCAGTTATACTGAAAGACTAGGTCCTGCCATATTTCTCTCGTCCCCTGGCCCTTTGGACCGTTAGGGGCATGACTGTTTCCTTTCTCAATATCTTCTTGCGCAAGCGGTCTTTGCCCTCCTATTTGTCATTGCGTTTTTTTAATCAACTCTGAGATGGCTTCCATCGCCTTCCACATTGTGAAGATTCTCCCACGGGCTCAGTGCTGAAAATGGAGGTGAGCTCTGCACCCCGGGATGGTGACATGGCTGAGCGGTCGTTGCCTTCGCCGCTTGTTGGAGACGCTTGCGGTTGGAATCCAGCAGGCCACCCTGATTATTACCGCGGTTATATTAGCTATATATATGTGCGGCGTCTACTTCGAAATGGATGTTCAAGCATCCCCTTGGTGTCGTTTTGAAATGAGTAGGCCATTGTATTCCCGCGTCAAGGTCCTTCCCCCGCACCTCCGATTAGCAAGGTTGTCTACGTATAGTGCAGAAGAAGTTCAACATACATACCTATAACGTCCTAATCTGCCAAATTTCTCAAAAATGATCCACAAATTACTCAATTGGGATTACATGTAGCAACATTGCCCCCTACTGTGAATCTACCGCAGACTACGTCTGTTAAACACAGCACCTTCCCTCGTGAAAGCATTGCACTATAAGAACGGCGCGATTACCAAATGTACTCAATTGTTGTAATTATTTGCTTGCGCAACCTTGGCTGAACGTGACAAACGGTCTCAGAATATTTGGACCTCCATGGATCGATCTACCAATTTAAAACAGGTTTCCGGGGGTTGTGACGGTGTTGTATTACACTTCAGCGATGAGGTGGAGCAATGCGTCACATGTCCAGGTGTTACCGCCTTGGCGACCCTCAATCTGGACACTTGGTCAACAACCCCCGTGAGCGCGCGTCACGCTGCAGCCTAAAAACCCTGCACGTGGACACACGTCAAAATGTCACGTGATCGCGGAAAAGCAGATTCGATTCAGGGCCATTGCCCGAGGTAGCAGGTGTAGCAGGCTGTTTGACGACAAAGAGTTGTTGTTCTAGATTTGAAGCTTTCGTGACTGCAAGGATTCATATTCTTAGGTTTTTTCGGTAAAGTCACGTAGGTAAAACATTAAAATTAATAAAAGTAAAATAAAATAAAAATCACGACGTTCCGGAGGCAACACAAGCTTCCGTCTTCAGGTGGAACCGTCACAGCCCGACAGCTGTAATGTTTTACCTACGTGACTTTACCGAAAAAACATAAGAATAAGAGTTGTTGTTGTTGTGCTAGCGTAAATATTCCCGTAACATTGAGCCGAAGACATAAGAGTGGGCGAAGCTGGAGTGTAAAGGTCAGCGCGCTGCACTACGAGCCCGATGAGCCTGAGTTCGATTCCTGCTTGTGGCCAATATCAGTGACGTGTCTGAAGCTAGTCCTGAGCCTACCAAGACATTTACTTGGCCTTAGATGGGCACCTGGTGCGGTGTCTAAATGTTAGCATTGGGGAGACAAAGGCGGGTGTGGTGCTGGCCACCCACGCCCCTCGTATGCCATGTATGTTGAACTTCTTTCGCACCGTACGTAGCTAATCGGAGGTGCCGTGTCAGCCTTACTAAATGCTTACTAATAGCACTCGCCCCAAAAGTATATTAAAGGCTATGCTGGGGTACCTTTCTATTTGCTTGTCTTTTTTATAGGGGGTGGTGGTGCATTTCTGTAGAATCCCATAGAAGTCGGTACTAATCGTGGGTATGCACACAAAGCATATGAAGCTCTCCTAAAATAGCCTCGCTCGAGTTGGTGTTAAATGAGTAACTGGTGCGCCATGCCAACACTTCGTCCACTGTGTCTGCCTTAATAGGTGCCAGCCGACACCAATCGCCCCATCATCCTACATAGGCTACACACGAGTTTGTGTTGTACACATACGTCTATGTTGAATGTTGATTGGTGTGTATAATGTGTGTTGTATAGGTACGTTGTGTTGCAAATAATCAATTTATTACATTCTAATGTTACTGCCCGTGTAACGACGCATGTTGAAATCTTGTCCTGTTAATGAGTACCTATTAATGGCACAAGCTGATGCGGTGTATATGTCCACAATCGAGAGTGCATTTGCTTTGTGTGTGTTCATCATGTCACCATCGGTCCTGGGCCTCCCCGAGGTCGACTAAGCCTCAAATGAGTACCTGGTGCATTGTGTAAACATCGCCACTGGGAAGACAAAGGCAGCCGGGCATGGTGCTGGCCACACACCCCCTCGTTTGCTGTGACAGCCTTCATAGGTGCTCGCTCACAGCACTTGCCGCAACAGTCTGTTAAGGCTATACGGGGAATATTTGTCTTTGTTGTGTACATATATCATTATTGCATACATGTTCAATGCGGATAGATGTCTTCTTTGCCCAAACAAGTGAAAATAATGAATTAGTGTGATTAAAAGACACACAGTGGCTGCTTGTGCAATATATTTGTTTCGATTCCCAAACCAGGTTTTCAGCTCTACCCAGCCCATCACCCATGCAGCAGGGTTCAATCCATAGCGCGGGACATGACACTGGTTTACAAACACGAGCTGAATTGCAAACACTCCCTTCATATGGAGGACCATTCTTACAACATTTTAACCAAAACACATTCCCTAACTTCTAGCTGTTAACACACTGACAGACAATGTGTTCCATGTATTGTAAGGGCACATGTTAAAGAAACTGTGATGTCATTCACGGAACGAGGTATTTTGGGCCAACAGCCCAATTTCAAATTTGAGTTACTCCCCTATCACATTAATGGGCAGCATTGCTCATCTGGATTGGTGACAATGAGCCAATTGTGAAAATTACACATTGCTATATCAGTCTCTGCATCGGAAAACCACTGTTCATGACTTCCTACATGAGTGGTACTAATTTTATCAACCCCAGGGGGATGATGATGGTGCACTCAAGCTATCGCTCACCCGCAACTCGAACTAATTACTTACAATTGCTAACCCAGTGATCTACCACAGCGTGACTCACAAGAGAGATAATGCATCTCAATGGGCTCTAATCACGTTGAATGGGGAATATCAATTGATTAATTCACAAAGCAATCAAACAGTCAATCACTTTCACTCCCCTTCGGAGAAGGCCTATTTATTCCACTTGTTCCAATTTCATTCCTTGCAAAGCGTCCAATGAATGATTGAATGAAGGTAAGAAAAAAAACATATCCACTGCATATATATTAATTTATGCTAGTTTAAATGACACACAGCCACTTGCCATTTCTTGCCACATGCCCTGCTGAGAATGCAATTGTGTATCGCTGCACTTCCCTGGCCTGGGAGTTGAATAAGTACAGCTTTATTTATTTGGGTTCCAGCAGCTGGAAGGGAAATCAATATGCGACACTACACCGCAATATTGGATAAGCAAGAGGTGTTTGCATTTAAAGCGCACATTACGGCA